GGAAGTGCTCTCCCCCTCCCCTGCCCCCGCGCACCCTGTGGACCCCAGAAGACCACCCTGGACCCGCCTATGGCCGTGTTAATCAGCACAGCTGGAAGTGCTTGCACGGGGATATGTACATTTTGCAGTGTGAGATGTGCTGATAGCGGGACTGGCGTGAAGTTGTTCTGAGAAGTACCGGGACTGCTCAGGTGGCCACTTTGCCCAGAATCTATTGTACTTCCCCAGGAAAGACTTTCCTGTGGTTGATTTTGTTGTCAGAGCTTGTCCTTGAATGCCTTACCCATTACAAAGAGGCAAATCAACGCTTTTGAAGGGTCCGAAAATGATGGAAATAATTGCCGGTGTGAAGATGCATTTTTTGCACAGCTCCCCGCAGGTTTTTGTCGCTAACAGCACTGTTTTTTCCGGCAGATGCTTCTAGCTAAAAGAATTTCAGACTGGCCGCCAGGACTGTCGGGAAACGCCACCTTAAAACTTGAGCTTTCCAGCCTTTCTGGTTTCCGAGCTAGTGAATTAGCCGCCAAAAATTTCCACGAGCCCGTACGTGAGAACCACATACATCTGGGGCTGAATTTGAAGTCACTGGATTGGTCGTGGATAGGAGCGTCCACTTGAAATTTGAGCTTTCTAGCTTTTCAGGTTACCGATTTAGCAACTTACCCACCAAAACTTTCACTCGTCCGTACATATATGCCATACAGACATGGAATACGAGTCCATACATAGGTGTAGACTAAGTTGCCAAAGTTCCAGCCTTCTAGCTTTTCTGTGCCTGGAGATGAGAAATCAGTACAGACGCACATACGGACACACACACACACACACACACACACACACACAGCCCCTCAGCAGTATGCGTTTTTGCACTGCATAGATGTGGGAGGCATTACGATAGACGATCTTTCTATACCTATTTTAAGAAAGTGGGACATCTAGAATGTGACTGAATAGATTTTTGGTCATTCCCTCATCAACAATTTGACTGAATTACATTCAGCATGCTTCATTTTATTCCATCGGCAGCCACCATCATGCCCAGAACTTCAACAACGATATGCGTTTTTGCACCACCTATTTGCTCAGAATCAAAAGCGCGTTGTCGAAACTGTTTGGCGGGTAAAGCTCGAGGATTTACTTCTTTTTCATCCCCGTACTTCTCAGTCCTGCCCTGTTGCACATTTGGCTGCTTTTCTGCCACGGCGTGAGCGAATCCCTCACCTCGGGCCGTCAAGAACCCAAAAAGGTTCTTATTTGCTTTTTCAGTAGAGCACGATGACAGCACGTCCGCTGGTCACCGTGTACAGTGAGAAGAACGAGACCACCGATGTGCAGGTGAAGTTGCCGGCAGTTTTTCGCGCACCACTGCGTCCGGACATCGTCAGCTTTGTGCACGATCAGATGAGGAAGAACAAGCGCCAGCCGTATGCCGTATCCACCGAAGCTGGTTCGTTTCGCGTTTATTCCAAAAGTTACGAAAAGTTGCCTTACTGAAGTGTAGATATTGCTCGATAGGAAACCCGAAAAGGGACAAAACTCAAAGTGAGAAGAAGTAATCCTCTGCAGGCACATTACAGGCATTTTTAAAGGAGGCTAAAAAAAGGTAAATTTATCAAACTTGCATGAAAATGCTACCTTCTGCAGATGTGAAGCGCGGCTGTAGGAGGTACAGCTGTGAAGAGATAAAGCTTTATTAAAACAAGCATATAAAAGTCCGCAGACCCTGAATAATTCGACAGCAGCTCCAAGCTGCCAGAGCATCACCCTTTCATTTCTAATCACATCATTACATATCACAAAGTGGGTAACTCGAGACGGGACATTTGCATATCACATGGAATCGAAGGGCAGCTGGACAAGGCGAAGGATTTAGCCAGCTTTGCTGTTAACACCTCGTTCTTTTTGCGACACAAGTGCTATCACACGTACCCGCTCACCTTAGTCCCACAACAGCTTATCACTCCAGCTGTTTAAAGCATCCTCGCCCCCCTTGCAACTTTTCTCCTAGGAAATAGAGAGCATTTTTGGGTCCCAGATGTCCACCTTTGATTTTCTAGGACATCAAACGTCGGCGGAATCGTGGGGTACGGGACGCGCAGTGGCGAGAATACCGCGTGTACGCGGTGGCGGCACTCATCGCTCCGGTCAAGGTGCTTTCGGAAATATGTGCCGAGGTGGACGTATGTTTGCGCCAACTAAGGTAACGGATAATTCTTCGCACTTTTAGGCTTGTAAGGACGTTTTGTTCTGGATTTTTGATTAACTGTCTGCATCGTTATATTTGCATCTCCGTTCATCTGACACTCTTTCCATAATTGTTGTTATAGCGCTGCTACAGCCAGCAAAAACGCATATTGTCGAGAGGCTATCTGTGTGTGTGTGTATTCGGAAAGCGAGTGTATTTTATTATCACTCCAGCTGTTTAAAGCAGCTCGGACCCACTTTCATCTCAGCAGCCAGAAAAGCTGGGAGGCTGAAACTTTGAATATATGTTCCTACCCTGTGTGTCATCCTCCCTTTTTAAGATCTTCCCCCATACGCGCCTAGACCCCCCGTACGGGACCCCCAAAGAATTATGTTGGCGGGAAACAATTTTGCGAACAAGGCAACGTAGGAAGCTGAAAACTTGCAGGGGTATACTCTATGCGAGCTAACAATTTTAAGCTCAGCTCTCTTACTCCCCAGCCAGAGCCTCAGTCAGGTCCTCAACCCAAAAATCGTTAGCATCTGGGACCTGAACCGCAATTGTATATGCAAACGAACATGGATTTTTGAAAAACGACTGTTCGAGAAACACTTTCAATTTTTAATGAACTGAATATTTGCATTTATTCAAAAAAATCGTTCGCAGCTCGGACCTGAACCGTAATTGTACATATAAATGAACATGGATTTTTTGACAAACGACCGCTCGAGCAATACTTCCACTTTTTAGTAAACTGGAAATTTGCATTTTTTCAAAAAATTTGCATTTGTCACTGTTTCACAAAGCAAGCATTTACCGAAAAAGCGACCGGACTTCATGCAAAAAACCGGTAATAATGCCCCTGGATGTCTGTGTGGCTCTATAATGCACCACCTTCATCCTAACTGACGCCCTTCCTCCTGCATGCCGGAAAGGATCAAAGCACGGCCGATATGAGCCCAAGTGTTAGGCTACAGCGTAGGTGTCACTCTTGCTAATAGTGATCTGCGAGTTCAGTGCAAAAACGCATGATCGCACTGGAGCCTGGTGCGTCCCAGCCTGGGTTTTATTTGGTGGTGACAGTCGGATGTTATGCTTCCTCTTAGATTCTGTACCAGCAGTTGTTGGGTGCAATCAAAGAAGTCAAAACTCCCTCCGTATTCCCTCTCACTAAGAGACGAAGACATTCAGGAAGTAGATTAAGTAGTAGCAAATGTCAGCAGTGGGCAAGGCTGTCGGTGGCTGCATCCTTCGAGGATTACTTAGCATACTGATGGCGAGTTTCATTCTCTGACATATACAAGTATCGGTTTAGCAAAAAAATGAATAAGCGAATCGTAGGATGGTTAGTTGCCCCACCAGCGGAGTTGTATTTTTGACGCCTTGTAAGTATTTACAGTCCGTTAATTTGATAATTTGAAGGTGTTTCGTCGTTGGCATCGGCGCATCAATGTTGCGCAAAAACGCTATGCAATGGTATCAGCGATCGCTGCATCCGGGGTCCCGGCGCTTGTGCAGGCTCGTGGCCATATAATTGACCAGATGCCGGAGATTCCATTCGTTGTTGTTGACAAAATTGAAGGATTCAAGAAGACCAAGGAGGCTGTTTCGTTTCTGCGCCGCTCTCATGTCTGGGCCGACATCGAAAAGGTTAGCATCAGGCCACCCTTAACGTTCATATCATCTGCATTGTACAAAATAAGCTGGAGTGAAATCCATTGATGAAGTGGGAATACGGCGGCAGACTTGGAGATACGGGCATTCGCCTGAGTAGTTCCTTGGATTCCAGTTTTTAGGGCTGTGGTGCACTTGGAGAAAAGCGCATTGTTCTTTGTATGAATGAAATTACTAATCTGCCAACGGTGGATGAAAATTAGCGGTAGCCCGGGGGAAAAAAGGCAAATTTCTTCTTTTGGCTGTTGAATACAGAGAAGCACATCTTTAGTAAAAAAAATTAGCAGAAGCAAGCCTTTTTGTGCCAAATTTTCAAAAGAACATATAGAGATGGATGGAAATTTGGCATAAGAAGGCATGTTTAGAGATGTTTAATTCGCCTGAAACGGAGTTTTCTTCTTGAGAATTGGGGGAAGGGATGCGGTGGCGACAGAATTGAAACAGGAAAGCACTTATCAAGTTTTTGGCTCTCAGTACATCTTGTGCTGCTTCATGGGCAGTAGCTAAAATAAGGGTGTTAGGTCCTAACAGCTAGTTCAGAGTTGTTTGTGGTGACGCAGCTGCTGTGATTCACTTTTTTCCAAGTAGCTTCGTGAACTTAGCGGCGAGGAAGCTGGGCAGATTTGAAGGCATTTCAACACATACAGACAGATTGTTTTTCAGGTTTACAACTCGAAGCGTAATCGCGCCGGCAAAGGAAAAGGACGTAACCGTCGGCATAAAGCCAAGCTGGGCCCACTTGTGGTTTACAACCAGGACAATGGTGTTGTGAAGGCCTTCCGGAACATACCGGGCATTCATCTGCTCTGTGTGGACCGTCTAAATCTGCTGAAGGTTGCGCCCGGTGGCCATCTTGGCCGGCTGATCATCTGGACGGAATCGGCTTTCCGCAAACTGGACCACATCTACGGGACGGAGACACGCAAGGCTGCAGCGAAGGCGAACTTCTCACTGCCAAAAGCGAAAATGACAAATGCGGACTTCGCACGCCTGATTCGTTCCGAAGAGATTGTGCGCGCCGTGCGACCACGAAGGAAGACTGTCAAAGTGGCCAAAATACATCGTAACCCACTGAAGAAGACGGCCCTTATGGTGAAGCTGAATCCGTACGCCGCGGTCCTCAAGAGAGCTGCTGTTTTGGCGAATCGCAAACGTCTGGGCACTGATCATCCGATGGAAGAGAAGATCCGTGTAAGGATTTGTTGCTTTGACCCGTAGCGCTCACTCTCTTCAAAGTTACTAATCCTTCTAAAGAGGGTGTGAGATAATCCTTGTAAAGACAGTATATTCAATGGACGTTAAGTTTTTTGTTTGTTCCGGTGATCTGTAACAGGAGGGTGGCGATAGGGTAAAATCTTTTGTCCTTTTAGGGACTTTTGAGACTAAAAAGCATGGAAAAATGACCTAAGGTACACAATTCCTTGCTAACTATCATTTAGTGGGGCCAGGTTGGTACAGAGATGCTCTGAAATGACCGAGTTTTTGCGTTTGAGCGAAACTCTGAGTTTCGCGATTACTGATTCACAGTGCAGTATTAAGGCAGATGGGGCACAAAAGAAGGCGAAGGTAAGGAGGGATGAACGAGGAAGACTAAGAGGAACTGCCTTTTATTGGGAGCTGAGTTCAGTTCTCATACATTCCTTGTTCAGTTTTTACAGCTAAGGGATGAGACGTAGACTGCTTCCTAAAATGTCTTCGCTGCTATACATGATGTTTTGTTCAGTCCCCTAATACTTGCTGTTATTTTTGATGTGGTGCTTTTGTTTTCGGGAAAAATGTGGCTAAAAGCCCTTTCGTTTTGGCCCTTACGAACAATCAGCGAAATTCTTTTGGGACTCTCTTCTCCGGGACATTTTAGCTCTCCGATTGCCTATATGAATGAGTGCTTGCGTATTTTTTCTTGTTCTGAGAGCATTTTATTAATTATAGACTTTGCATGATCTAATTGTTGACGAATTTTAGTAGCTTCTAATATCAGGTTGTGGCATCAGTTCATGGATTGAGTATGAGGAAGACAGGATATGCAGTCTCAAGTCCAAGGATTTAGCGTAGTTTTGCCATATATGTGGGTGCTTCCCGGTAACGTTGAAATCTGACGTGGTCAGTCTGAACAGCTGTGCAAATTGGGGCCTTGTCTAATACACGCTTGTTGATTTCTGATAAGGTTTAAAGTTTGGCTAGGGTCATTTTCTAGTTAAAAAAAGACAGTGACCACAATTTTCTTTGCAGTTGCATTTGATTGTGCTTATTTTGCAGGACTTACGTAAGAAGAGGAAAATTGAGAAGAAAGAGGCCACCGAAAAGAAAGTGCCAGATGACAAGAAAGTTCCGGCTGAAAAAAAGGCACCGGCTGCGAAGAAGGCTCCGGCTGCGAAGAAGGGGCCGGCTGAGAAGAAGGCTCCGGCTGAGAAAAAGGCTTCGGCTGAGAAAAAGGCTTCGGCTGAAAAGAAAGCGCCGGCTGAGAAGAAAGGAGCTGAAAAGTAAGGAAAATGGAGAGGGGGATGGTGTTATAATTGTTACTTCGTTCTGTTATAAATTCGAAGTGTTGGGGAATAAAATTTTGATTGACTGTTGCTGTCTGAATCCAAGTCACAGTCAGGAACACCAGCATCATAAGAATTGAACGGCGGATCCGTCATTTCAGATTATCCTGCATCATAGGCATAATATTTAATACACTTGTTTCTTTGGGACAAAACCGCTACTTCAACAAGAAATTAGTTCCCAACACACAGGGGGGGGGGATGTCTGGCGTAGCGTGTGTAGAAATAAGATCGTAACGAGGGATGGGGAACATTGCTTGACACGTGGTTGTAGGTTTACACTACGACTCAACATTTTTCCAAATATCCGAAGAAAAATCGAAGTTAACTTACGAGTAGGGGAAATCTGGAGTAAATACGTCCAAAGAGAAGTGCGTATTTTCGCCGCTGATTCACTTTTCCTTCTTAGCTAATAATTCTGCAAAAGTAAGGTTCGTCTGGAACGCGCAGTTTTCGAACCGCTTACGCCAACATTTTTGGAGGAGGGAAGCAAGTTCAACTGGAACAGAATCTGACGCGACGTTTTTTTAGACCAGAATAAGCCGGGACTCGTTGTAGGAAAATAAGCCGGCTACAGCAGCAATGCAGTGCTCAATGAATTCGGTCCTTGGATTCGAATTCTAACCGCTGATCAATCGGTCAGTGTTTACAGCTAAGGGATGAAACACAGACTTCATTCAAACATGTCTTCTTTCACATGACACTTGGACTTATCCCTTATCTCCGTCTATATTTTTTCTAATTTTTCAAAAGGATTTAATCCTGTTAATTTTCCCAAAATCCTCACTCTGCTTTGCCTGTCCCTTCCTCTTCTACTGCCTTCCCTTTTGGCATCGAGTCGCCACCGCTCCGAATATTCTTTTTGGCGTTTTTTTTTTTTTTTTT